AAATAAAAGGCGCAGTTATTGTATGAAAACCCAGTGACAAGGACGCCTGCAGTGCCAGCACAACGTTATGGCGTCATGCGCGCCGTTGAGTTTAGATTTGTGAAAATTTACAGATTTGAGCTGTTCGAGTCATGTCATTTTGTTAGAGAGAGTAAATGTTGTGAATAAATTTAACATTAAACATAATCCAAGTTGAAGAGTTACATCATTTTCAGTCCCCTTTTTGGCATCTGCATTTGATAGAAGGCCAAATTGACAAATACCATGCAAAATAATGTAGTATTTTAATTCCACAGCAGAGAAAGCTGTGTAGGCTCTGTAAGTAGCTCTAGGAAAAAATATCAGCATTGGTATTGGTTATCGGCCAAATAAGTTTTAGCACTCATATCGGATATCAGACAAAAATCCAATATTGTGCATCCCTAATAGAAATACAACACTGGAGGACATTTGTCCAGCCATATTTCCAGCAGGACAGAGATTTTAACAAAGTGATCCAGAAAGTACCTGTTGTTTTCCCCTTGGTGCTAACTGGCCCAGTGGCTTGTTCCTCGACGGGTGTTTCTGGAGACTCGATGTCCACTTTAACCTCCTCTGGAGTCAAACTGGACGTGGCATGGCCGTTCAGATTTTCACTGTTGATTGGTTCATCTGGGAAGAAATAAAACTAAAAGTTCAGCTTTCAATGCTCAGTTTAAGAACAGGCAAACGTACAGGTCTGGGTTTTCTGAAGCACACTATATATGACAAGGGAATAAAAAGCCTTGAACTTAAATAAGAATTAAGTGTATTAATTGCATTAATCTGACAAAACCTTGCTCAGGAATGAGAACTCCTCTCTTTATGAGCTCCTCCCTCGTTTGTCGGGTGGATATTTTTCTCTCTAGAACTGAAACACACAACAAGAAAAAAGTGGATTTCAAATTCAGCTCTGGGTTGTTTTCTGATCTTCGTAATAAACAATATCACTTTAAACAAGCTTTGACTCTTATAAATGAAATGTCAGGGTCAGCTTTTTATTATTTGGTTGAAAGAAGCATCAAATAATGTTTCATAAATAGAATTGTTAATGAGTTTGTAAATACTTTATAAAGAATTAGAAATCATTTAACAAACACTGTTCATATTGAAACAGCTTCTCTAATTGGCAAGATTAAGTGTTGTCCTTCAAAATTTTTTTTTTTTTTACAATTTAGATGTTAAATATCAAATATTTGTCAGCAAAATATCTGCATAGCAGCACTTCGAGCATCTGCAGATGCAAATTTATTTTAGGCAAATAAAGTTATTTGGTTAAAAAAAGGAAGCTGAGCAACTGGGAATAAATTGTGTTTACCTAAATGAATTAAAGTGCATCACTTGGTATAGTCAAATAGTGAACCTGCTTAAAAAAGTTTTATAATTGATTGATAATGCTTTATAAACCATTAATTACAGCTATATCATGGTTTGTCAATGCACATTAACATTTTTTAAGTGTACAGGACATGTGACTGTCAACTTTAATATTACTCGTGTGATTGGGACAGTACTGGATACAGTACTGTAAAGTAAAAAGTTCAGGAAAAAATAAAATACTTTGAACAAGTGCCGCCATTTTGTAGTTTTCTCTCAATAAGCCTACACTGTATTCCTGCACTTAACGACTACAGTTCCCAGAAGCCAACAGTGCCCGGCTCTGAAGCCTCATTTTCTTCAGCTGAAATACTAGAGGGAAAGTTTTGATCTGATCTGAAAATGTTTGGGGCTTAATACTGTGACTTCAGTGCCCAGCAGATGCAGAGAGCTGCAAGGAACCCACAGAACTGGAGCAGAACCAGACCAGAACCAAACCAGAACAAACCAGAACCGGAGCAAAACCAGACCTCCAGACCCATCTGTGAACCCGAGAGATCCTAGCCAGCCTACAAGTGGGGACGAGCAGCCGTATGTCTGGGGCTCCATACAGAGCCCATCGGGACTTTTTTCATCTCTCGGGTCGGACAGGAACCGAGCCGCTGCTGTTCTGCAGAGCCTGGTAAGGAAAATTTAGTAGCTACATGTAAGTATGTTGTTAAAATAGTAGGTTTAAGAGTTTAGAACATTGATTGTGGACTTTGTCACTGCAGGATAGGTCTGCAGAAACAGAACAGTCAGACCAGAACAGAACTGGACTGGAACCGAGAGCCGCTCCTGTTCTGCAGATCTGGTAAGGAAAATTTAGTAGCTGCATATAGTACTGTACATATGTTGTTAAAATTTGTAGGTTTAAGAGTTTAGAACATTGAAAGAGTGTGGGAAGGGTTTCTAAAGCCCTATATATATATATATATATATATATATATATATATATATATATATATACTAAAATAAATACAACATTGCTACTTCGCAGATCTTCACTTGTTGCCGGGGGGGGGGGGGGGTCTGGAATGTAACACCCGCAATAAATGAGGGACTACTGTATTTTAAGCTCATCTTGTTTGAATAATTTGTGCCTTCTTTGCCGCTTTTATTTCTCTTCCCACTTGAGGCCTGTGAACCAGACGAAACCAGCTCAAGTTTTTGACTGATAATACTAAAACATGGGAAGGGATTAAAGAGAAAAGAAACAAAATGTGTTCAATAAAAATAAATAATAAATGTGAAATGTGCTTCAACAAGTTATATTTAACGTTGACCAGAAATGACAGCTGCATAGCAGAAATATTACTTTCATCTCATCACAAATCAAGGATGAACAATTTGGCAAATTAGATCGTTTTGCAATTTGAGTGAGAGCAGAAATATAAAATAACAGTTTTTTTTTAACTGTATTCTAATTAGTGCAAACTCATGAGAACTGATGTGTTTTATTTATTGTGGAGCACAAGAGGAAGGCAAGTAAGATTAGAATAGTAAATTTCCGTCTTTGTCGAAATTGTTCAAGAGGAGAAATAAAAGGTACAAACCTTATATAGACACTAAGAGATAAAAGCATCAGCAACGATGGAAAAACGTCTCGGCTATTTGGATTTTTTTCAGTCTCTTAGTTTCCAAATCAGCAGCTCAAGAATTAATCAGCAATTGCTCTAAACAAACCTTCGAGTCGTTTACATTTAAAGCTGTTTTAGGCCCTACACCGCTCTGATTTAGGTTTAATGTTCCACACAAATCCAAAGAGACAAGCCGTGACATTGTCCAGATGCTTGATTGAGGGGAACCAATCAGCAGCCGTTCCTCCGTTTGTCTTGAACTCTTTAACAGCCACACACAGAACATCGCACCTTTGGAGAGATCCTGGAACTTGTCGCTGGTTTTCTTCTTCCTCCACTTCCAGGGCTTGAAGATTTTTCCCAGAGACGACAGCTTTCCTCGCTGCTGTCGAGATCCTGGAGCATTCTGGGTATTGGTGGTGTTGTCTACAACCATGTCACAGCTGGCCACAGATGATTTTTCCAGGCCGTCAACTAAAAAAAAAAACACAAGTTCACAACCATATAAACAGGAAACTAATCACATCGGCATCGTTATATAAGTAGATATAACACTCAAGACTCATCTTTGCACAAATCTGCCTCTTCCTGTCTAAACATATGAACCTTCTGGAGTACTGAAGACAGACTGTAGATGGTGTGTGTACGTTTAGGTGTTTATAAGCATGTTTAAAATGGTTAAAGATTTAAAAAAATATATATATATAAGCTGTACACCATTGTCATCCCTTCACTGAAGTAATTGAATAGTGAATGTCTGCAGTTTTCAAGATGAGCGTTTTTCTGGACCGGAATTGAACAGGGAATGCAAGTAAACCTTAATGTTTTTAGTGAAAGATATTCAAGTGGGTAAGAATTACATTGAGTATAAGAAAAGAAGTACTAGTAGGTGTATTGTTTTGTTTTTCGCTTATCCGAGGCAGTGCAGCGAGACGGATCATGGTGAGTGAAGGGAGCTATTTTATCCACTACCAGGTGCAATGGCGGAGCCAGTGGGTGGCCAGTGGTGGCCTTGGCCACCATAGATTAATCTTCGGCAACCCCACCAACCACCACAATCATTTGATTGAGGAAACCGTACTTTTCAGCAATTAAAAAAATAAAAAATAAAAGTATAAAGCATAGTTTACTCAAATAATCCAAGTGGCCTGTTTACATACCGTATATATATATATATATATATATATATATATATATATATATATATAT